GCTTTACTTACTCAAATCTACTTCAGGTCTTTAGCTTTTATATGCTTGTGATTTTCTTCTTGTTTAATTTTTTTTTTTTGGCTGTGACGGAACTTTGTTTTAAAACTATTTAAAGTGCAACCAAGCTATCACTTTGAACGCGGTTGAGCTTCGGGATCTGAACGCTTAAGCTTTATTTTGCAGATCTGGGTTTGATTGCAATTTTCATCCTGTTGCTCGGATTTGTGCGTCAGAGATGTCGATTTTATCGAAAAGCGATTCGATTCAAATCAGGGATGTTTGGAACGACAATCTTGAAGGGGAGTTTGCGTTAATCCGTGAAATCGTGGACGAATACAACTACATCGCCATGGACACGGAGTTCCCTGGAGTGGTTCTTCGCCCTGTGGGTAATTTCAAAAATATCAATGAATATAACTACCAAACTTTGAAGGATAACGTTGATATGTTGAAGTTGATCCAATTGGGTCTTACTTTCTCGGACGCGCACGGGAATCTTCCAACCTGCGGCACTGACAAATTTTGCATTTGGCAATTTAACTTTCGCGAGTTCAACATCAGTGAGGACATTTATGCAAGTGATTCAATTGAGTTGTTGCGTCAGTGTGGGATTGATTTCAAGAAGAACAGCGAGAGGGGCATTGATGTGAACCGGTTCGGTGAGCTTTTGATGTCGTCGGGGATAGTGTTGAACGATTCTGTTCATTGGGTAACATTCCACAGTGGGTATGATTTTGGGTATCTCCTTAAGCTATTGACGTGCCGTGCCTTGCCGGATACACAGGCGGGATTCTTTGAGTTGATCCATATTTACTTTCCCATGGTGTATGACATCAAACATTTGATGAAGTTCTGCAACAGCCTCCACGGGGGATTGAACAAACTTGCAGAGTTGTTGGAAGTGGAGAGAATTGGTGCATGCCATCAAGCAGGGTCAGATAGTTTGCTCACATGGTGTACGTTTAGAAAGTTGAGGGATGCATTCTTCAATGGATCTACAGAGAAATACGCTGGTGTTTTGTATGGTCTAGGCGTCGAGAATGGACAGACTAATTGAAAGTATGGGACAATGATTAATGAATACATGTAGAGTATGTCTAAGTGTGAGCTCATTTTCTTTTACTTGTGTACACTTCTGCCAAAGGGTTGTTGTTTACTTGTAACTTTTTATCTTTGCTTGATCTTGTAACTCAAACCTTAGATGGTTTTGTAGCTCGAGTTCTTTGTAAATCACTTCAGTTAGTGTTTCAATAATAATTCAATAATAATTTCTTATGTCTGCAGCTGTTTCTTTCTTCTGATTATGCTATATGTTCTGTCTGTTCGAGGCTGAAGCTTTATTGCTAGGACAATCTGACTATTGATCCCTCAATACGCATTCAAGGATTATCAACAATCAATTGTTACTGGTTAGAAGCGGAATTGTGTTTGCCCTTAATGTAGATGCCATCTGGCGATCGTCGTTTGATTGTTAGAGAGTTTTGTCCTGAATGGGAAGGATGCTTGTTCCTCGGTCCCATTCTATGATCCACAACGGTGTCATATTATTGCCGCGAGTAACTGTTGATGGCTTCGAAGTCTTTTGTTCTGTGCCAATTCGTTGCGCCTTCTGATGTTTCTGCTTTGCAGTTTAAATCTCATGTACGAGGCTAGTTGAGATCATCCAAGGTTCGAGGGATGACTGCACTGGTATGGTTGTCTCTAATCCCTTTCATTTTGTAGTTCTTGTAACTCCGCGACTGTGCTAGCTATAAATGACAAACTAACCTGCATAAAGCAATTTTTTTTGATATATCTATATGAAGATAAAGGTTATCGTATTGACCCAGTGGTGTGAAGAGTTGGATCAGTGCCTGAAGTGGATGGTAAAGTGAATGTATCTTGAACGAATTGATGCTCTAGATGCTGCCGCCGCCACATCTGCTAGGTCGTGTCATTTCAATAGCTCAGCCAAAATGTAATACTACAAAATGCAACTGGGCAGTCGTAATCCTCAAGTGGTCAGCAGTATTAACATTTAACAACCACTTGAAAGCGCTGGAGAAGGGTAAGGGTTCATAAATGACCCTCAAAGCGGGGGAGTTACAGATGCCATTGTTTGTGCAGACTTTGCAGGTTTACTCATCTACGTGTGCAGTGGGGGGAGGAGAAAGAGAAACAGTCCTGGTTCACTAATCAGTTTGCCGTTACGTGGAGGAAGAAGGGGAAAAATCAGAGTTTGACAAGGCAGCAGACATATGACAACAACTTTTTTCAAGTTATCAAGACTCGATCCTGTAAATATAATACCTTAAAAAGTCATAATTTTTTTTTTTCGGTTACAAGAGAGGGGGGATCGAACCCCTACGCACACACCCACCCATACCACTAAACCAAACGGTTCGGTGGTTAAAAAGTCATAATTTTGGTGACAAGAATGAAGATGTTTGTGAAAATTAACCATGTTAAAAGGTTTGACTGGGTGACTTCAATTTTGATAATTTGCGGCAAAATGTTGGCCCATGGCTTAGCTTTGCTTGGGGCTGACTTGATGTGTGTGGATCAAGCCGATGACGAGTTTGATGGATTAAACATGGTTCGCCCCAAGAATGAAAAACGTAATAAATTTTCTAGAATATCAACAGTTGTTATAGCGGACAAATTAACATTCTTGCTAAATATGTTATAACCAAAAGATATTAGTGCGAACTGTAACATTTGATTTTTGTTTGAAGAGGTTTAAAAAACATGAAATCAATCAACACTCTTAGGGGGAAAAAAATAGAGGAAGCCCTCCAATCTGAGTGGCATATCGGGTAATGTATTTAGAATCGTGTTGACAGCTACCCACAGTTACATTTTGACCAACATGATTCCAGACACGTTGATGGTTAGGATACCTTGACAATTTATGATGCATCCTGGTGTGTTGGCGTGATCTGATTAACTCGATTGCAGCATTTTTGTTTCCGAAGAATTGGACTGGCCTGATCTTGCTTGTATTAATTAAAGTTGGATTGTAAGTTGCAAGGTAGTTATGATTGAAGAATAGCTCTTTTAACTAGTTATCATTCCGTTGATGATGGGAAGCACACATAAAAAGATGATATTAATATCGTTTCAATTTTATGTAAAGGGGTGAAGAGAATATTTGTAAATTGATCGGTGCCATTTGGAAAAAAAAAAAAAGGGAGGTGAGGTGTTGGCAGCTGTTTATTTGTTTGTGTTATAAACTTTGGTATAAAAGAGGCTGCAAATGTATTTGTGACGATGAGCCAACCAGGGAAGAAAGGAGTAAGGAGAAGAGTAAAGATACGAACTTGTGATTTGTGCACGGGCGCAAATGTATAATTCTTTCAATGCATCTTTTCCCTGCTCTAACTTCACGTGATTAGCTGAAATTCACGTGGTCTATTGTAATGTTAATACATTAATGTTAGTGACGCCAAACTTAATGGCTACCAAGTTTTCATTGCACAAAATGAGCACGAACTCACAAAGTTAAAGATGCCAAATGAAAAACTACGTTTAGTCGGTTTATTCTTTGCTATTAATTGCTTGTTTGTTTTTTAAAAAAAAAAAGAAAAGAAAAGAACATGTACAAGTTGTCACAGGGCACATGTCACTGCAAATTAGCATTTTCGCATTATATGATATAAAAATACAGTCTAAATGTTATAGTTTGAAATATTTTATTATATAAAAAATAAAACATTTCCTTAAAAATATTTTCAAACATTCTTATAAATATAAACACATATGTAAGCATGATACATACATATGATTTACGTAATTTTTTGTTGTTGTGTGTGTGTATATATATAAAATACATTTTCTTAGTTGGCAAAACAAAATAGTACCTTAAATCTTAAATATAAGAGTTAGTTGAATAATTTGACTATGTTAAGAAAATTAATTAAATTATTTATTTGTAATAAATAGGTATTATATTCCCTAAAACATCCTTATTAATCATATGTATTAACTAAACATTTAAGATCTACTATAAGAGCTATCTTATTTTTTTAAAAAAAATAAAATAGATTAGGATCATATACTTATAAACAAATTAAATATATATTGTGTGTGTATATATATAATACATTTTCTTTAATTTCTCTGGCCACAGGAATTAATCCTGGTCAGTGCGGTCCGTTTTGCATCCGTTTCTCTTCGACCGCCTTTCCTTTCTTGCTAGTTTGCCCCCTCCAGCTTGGGTTTCCCGCGAATTTCTGGGGCTTTGGTGCCCAGATCCGGTTCTTACCGGTAATTCTTGCACTTTATTACACATTACTCGCCAACACTCGTTAGTTTTATGACTGATAGCTTACGAATCCCGCTGAGTAGTCTTGTAATTCATTCCGAGAAAAATTTAAAAGCGGCAAGCGAGTTCTGAAAATCTAGGGTTCTGCCTTATCTTGGGATATTGGAAGTGTTCACAGATGATGTCATGCTTGTTCAACAATTACCGTCTGGCCACCGTTAATTGCTAGGGGGGTTTAGTGTGCACTCGCATGCAAATTATAAGCACATTTTTCTTTTTCCCTATTCCCTTGTTTAGTTGTATCATTACTATCTTAAATTATTATATTCGATATCGCGCTGGGGGGTTCTATTTCAAACAATGTGTGTGTTTCTTTTTTCCCTCTCTGTTTTGAATGTTATTAAATGCGATTGATACGGCATACCTAGTTACCGGGGTATAATTCGCTGTTCTATGAATATGCTGCATCTATTTGTGTTACTGAAGCTTTCGCAAATGCTTGCCCGTTTGAATCTACGTGATCCGTGATAATTCTTTATTTGCTTTTGGCACAAGCAATTTGGTTTTCAGCATTTGTTTTTGGAATTAAAGTGAGGGGTTTTCTACATTTTCTCTACTATCGACATTCTTAAAAAAGTCCACTATAATTATCCATGTGTTTGTTTGAATACATGTTACATTCATATGTACTAACTGGTGCCTATATTCATTTTTATTTATCATTGATTGGTGGTTTCACTTATTGTAATTATCATAGGATTACTTTTTAAAAGTAAAACAATGATTTTTCCTGGTGGAGGAATTTGACAAACGTAGATATATGGACCTCAAGTGTATTACAAATGGGCATCAGGTGATCTCTTTCAAGCTCACAACCTCCTGGGCCTTTTTAAATGATATGGATATTAAGACAATTAAATATAGGTTTTTCTTCCTTATTTGATTTGATATTCGAAATGGCTTTTCCATGCAGTCTCCTCTCATTATTTAACAATGATTATTATCACGTTACTATTGGGTAATAAATTATACGTTTCTTCTGAAGGGAAAGAAATTGATTTCGGAACACATGCGCAATTGGTGTTTGTACTTTAGGCCACCCTTTGGTTAAGGTCTGCAGCTTGACCCTCACTAAAGGCAGTGGAGCTCCATTGGCCGATTGTCAAACTGCTACACTGTTAGCTCTACTTATCAAAAGACCAAGGGGGGGGGGGATTTGCAACTATTGTTGTTAATCAGGATTGGACACAGTATACAAGATCTCGTAGGAGTGCATATTACTTCGCCTGGCCCCTTTGGGGATGGTTATTACTTTGCTGGTAGCCCAACACATTTGCTTATGCAGTCCCATTGGTTCAGGGCCTTCCTAGTGTGAAACCCCCGAGATGTGACAACCTCAACATGGCTGGGTTGTAGGCTTGCAGCAGCCACTATGATTGGTGGACTTTAAATATATTGGACTTCCTGTTGAAAATTGTGGGCAAATGAGATTTCTCAAATCTCTACCCAAGTTTTTCTCACTGCCAGCCAATGGGCTTATTGTCAGGAGAAATAGGGTCCATTGGCATTACCTTTGGTGAAGTGGTGAAGGTGAAGAAGAGAAGACTCCAGAACAAATATTTTTTTTTCCCCGTTCTTGAATTCCTAGTAAGGATTACTTTAGAGTTCTGTTGAAGGATTCTCATGCCTTAAATCTCAACAGATCTGATTGAATCGTTCGTGTCCTTACAGCTATCCTTTAATATCAAGCCTGTTTTCTTACCCTTTGAATATCTTTGTTATATTTTAACTTTTTTCCCCCCTTTAGAACCTCTAATCTGTCTGTCCATTGTCTGTAAAATGACATTGGCAATTTAAGAGCTACAACATGTAATGAAAATGAGAAGTCTTAATTTCATTGGTAATGGTGAAAGCAACGATGGGGCTGATAATTTGGGGCATAAGGGTGATTCTCACTTTGTAGACCCCTTGTGTTCATGTTAAGATTGCTATACCCTTCCTGTTTATTTGACTTTGTTGTGCTAGCGCTCGTGTTTGTTTTAATAATTTTTTAATTTTCATTTAACAACATTTTCTGAACTGGCTGTCATGCCTCAATATACTCTTACCATGCCGGCCTCCATGGCTCCATAGGGGTTTTGATTCTTGCTGCCATTAGCAGCCATATTCATTGGCTATACTGTTTGGGACTCTTAACTCTGTCATTATTTGAAAATATTTTGGATCTATTTGATTTGAAAGACCTTTTCCTTAAGATATGGTTCAACTCTCATACTTTGAGAAATAATGCATCTGATTGTATACTTGAAATGATAGAAGCAATACAAGTTCTCAATTATTCATTGAGTTGGGAGATTTTTAAGAATCATTTATGCACAAGTATTATACATCTGATCAACACATCTCACAGTAACAATTGGAAGATTCACTTTGAAATCTTGTTTTTTTTTGCAAAGTTAATCTATTTCTAAATTGTATTTTGTTCTCAAAATTAACAAATTACTTGGCAACCGTAAGTTTTCGCCCTTTGGTTCATTGTTTTTAAATCTTGTCATTGATATTTCTGCCACAAGAATGGATTCATGTATGCCTAGTGATATGGGTAAATTTGGTTTATTTGGAGTAGTAAGGAACAGATTATTTTGATTTATGTTAACTTGTTCGTATGATGAGCCAGTATACCAAACACAATAATTCCTATGTCTGAATTGAATGCTCCTGTGATTTTGTTCCTTTTCAATTCAGAGCATAAACTTACAACTGATAGGCACCATGTCAAACTAATGTACCATAAATTTTTCCTCGAACAATTGCTGGTTTCATTCCAGAAGTTGATTTTCTATTGAAGGTTTGTTTGATAGAAAATTATTGTAATGTTACTTTTAGCTTTACAGTAGAATTTCTTTGTTCCTTGCAGAAAATGAGTAGCCTGGTTGAGAGACTTCGTGTAAGATCAGATCGCAAGCCAGTTTATAATCTAGATGACTCAGATGATGAAGCTGACTTTTTGCCTGGGAAACCTGGTAGAACTGAGGAAAATTTTGAGAGGATAGTTAGAAGTGATACTGTGAGCTACTTTACACCCTTCTGCATTAATGATTTTCATTTGATTTAAGTGTGATTTCTGTTTCTTGTCGATACATGTAGAATAGGAAAAGGAAAGGAAATTGATATTTGATTTCACAAAGACTCCTCAATACATCTGTTCTGCCCCTATTTATAAGGATATTACACTATATTCCCAAACTACCACCTCCCTACTATTTCTCTAACTGTTCCCTAATTCCCATGTATCAATTCTATCCCTTCTTCACCTTAAATGATGTTTGAATATAGTGCTTATTGGATGACTTAAAGTATAATTAGTGTACATAAAGACCCATATGCTCCCGATTGTGTTATTGTTGCATCATGGAACATGCTGCCCAACGAAAGACGTCCTGCATGAATTTAAAGACATTAGTAATCGTTTGACCTACTGATATTGATTGGTGAGACTATTTTTGTTGTTGCCTGTCATGGAATATGCAGCCAAACTTGGGGTATTCCTTTATGATTCCAAAGACATTGAGAATTCTGACATACTATTGATTGGATAGAAATGTGGAGGAAACCTTTATCCTTAAAATTTAGGTTCTAATATAATGCTGTTTGGGATCAAACGTGTAGATTAATTATTGGAAGCATTTCATATGATTCATTTCAAACATAGAGTTGTCTTTTTAAGTAGTAAGATGGAAGATTATTTCTATATGCCTGTAATGAATGCTTTGCCCCTTCAATATAACAACTGTAACTAGCCACCCTTTTCTACTTTTAAAATGTGATCCGCTACCAGGGTTAGTTTTATTCACTTCCAGTAAACTCGGAGGAGCTATATTATTGTAAGTATAAGATGTTTCACTTGCATTTTATGTTTTTGATTAGGTAGTTGGCATCATATGGTACAGTGCCGATGAATTAGAATTATTATTTTCTAATCCGTGAATGTGTGGTATTTGTCATTGTTTTATAAGTAGCATCTTCTTTACTTATATTTAGTGTCCTTGTTTTAGACTAGTAATTGAAATATTGAATTTTTCCACCTCGTCTTGATGTGCTATCCCTTCCACTAGAAAGAAAATTCATGCCAAGCCTGTGGAGAAAGTGAAGATCTTCTTAGCTGTGAAACTTGTACTTATGCTTTCCATCCTAAGTGTTTGCTTCGACCACTTAAACCTCCACTTCCAGATAATTGGAGATGCCCTGAATGTGTAAGCCACAATATTTCATGGTTAATAATAGTACTGTTATCCTTGATGAAAGGTCTAGACTCATAGTTCTTGCCTTTGCAGGTTAGCCCATTAAGTGATATTGAGAAGATATTAGATTGTGAAATGCGCCCAACTGTAGCTGGTGATGGTGAGGCCTCAAAACCGTGTTCAAAGCAAATTTTTGTTAAACAGTATCTTGTGAAGTGGAAGGGACTTTCATATCTGCACTGCACGTGGTAAATTTAGGAAACTTTTTCTTCATTAAGTCCCAGTTTCACATAATTTCTTACGCTTTGGAATTTTTGAATTTTGATGATCCTTTTACAATGCTTTCCACTGTTCTCTCCAATTCTTCCCATTTCTGAATCATTCCAAATTTATATTTTGAGTGTTAATTTTAGCTTTCTGAGCACCCTTTCTTGAGATTTTCTCTTCTTTGAATCATATGATCATTTTGGGCATTGCTACTTACTGGCTACATGTCTCCTTATGTAGGGTTTCAGAGAAAGAGTTTCTGAAAGCCTTCAAGTCACATCCCCGTCTGAAGACCAAAGTGAACAACTTCCACCGTCAAATGGCATCTGCAAATACTACTGAGGATGACTTTGTTGCCATTCGACCTGAATGGACCATGGTTGATCGTATACTTGCTTGCAGGTTCAAATATTTGGAATTTTTATCTGCCTCCTTCATGTGCAAAACAATATGTAATGGGTTTTATTCTAGTAGACTGAGCTATTATTCATTTATTCAAGGCCATGAGCGAATTTGAGATAGTTTAGTGAGAGTTATGCTGGTATTGATGTATTAAGTTAGGTCAAAACTGTCATACTTCCCTTTCAGGCTGATCAGATGTTGAAATAAAAGTTATGTGCGACATATTAGTTTCTGAAGTTTGCAAATTATAGGTCTAGTTATTTGAAAATTTTTGTTTTTTAATAATTCTTGGGTTCTTACCTCTTAAATCATTGTCAGTAGTGATTATTTTGTGCCATCTTCTCAATAGGAATCAAACAATGCTTATATTCTTATAAATGCATTTTTAATAGTTCAGGGGTCGTGATGATGGGAAGGAGTATCTTGTGAAATGGAAAGAGCTTCCATATGATGAATGTTATTGGGAGTCTGAGTCTGACATTTCTGCATTCCAGCCAGAAATAGAAAGATTTACCAAATTTCAGTCAAGGTCTAGGAGAAGTGCTTCTAGTAAGCAGAAAAGTAGTGGTAAGGATGGTTCCGAAGAAAAAAAGCAGCTGAAAGAATTTCAACACTATGAACATAGCCCCAGCTTTCTTTCAGGCGGTATGCTATTTTCACTTATCCCTCCTTTTGGCAATAACATGCTTCAAATTCAGATCATCTAGGTCACCTGATTTCATTTTGATGTAAATGAAGGCACCCTACATCCATATCAGCTTGAAGGCTTGAACTTCTTACGTTTCTCCTGGTCTAAGCAAACTCATGTTATACTTGCTGATGAAATGGGACTAGGTATTTAGTCTCTGTTTATTTATCTTATTCTCTACTATTTACTGCCTCTTTTTACTGTTTGTCTTCTTGCCCCATGAAATTGGAGGATCAAGCATCAAGAAGAAATATATTATTGCATGTTGATTGTCGAGTTGTTTGTCTGCAGGCAAAACCATACAAAGTATTGCTTTTTTAGCATCTCTTTTTGAAGAGAGAGTGTTTCCCCATTTAGTGGTTGCTCCCTTGTCAACTCTCCGAAACTGGGAACGTGAATTTGCAACATGGGCACCTCAAATGAATGTTGTATGTAGATGGAATTCCTAGCTCGTGTTATTTTGTAGCCATTCTTTTAATTATATGCTCCTTTCTGCAGGTTATGTATGTTGGATCTGCTCAAGCTCGAGCTGTTATAAGAGAGTATGAATTTTACTTTCCAAAGAAACAGAAGAAGATCAAGAAAAAGAGACATGGCAAAATAGTCAGTGAAAGCAAGCAAGATAGGATCAAATTTGACGTCCTTTTGACATCATACGAAATGATCAACTTCGACTCTGCATCGTTGAAACCTATAATGTGGGACTGCATTGTAATATTCGACTTGCCATCATAGTAAAATACAGTAACACTACCGTTATTCTTTAGAACTATCTAACCTCAATGCTTTCTGCATGCTTTCGAACATCAATACCTATATGCAGATAGTTGATGAAGGTCACCGACTCAAGAATAAGGATTCAAAATTATTTTCTTCATTGAAGCAATATTCAAGCAGACATCGTGTACTTTTGACTGGGACTCCTCTTCAGGTTTCTTTTAGATGATGCACTGTGCCATAGCTCATTCACTGCATGATTTTATTTGGGTAGTAATTTCTTGGTAGAAATGGAATCTCTCTTTTTCGCCTTATTGCCTAATGATTTCATATTGAGTTCTTGATTACAAAGTATGTCTAGCATAAGTGCAGGGTCTCTGCTGATAGTTTCTTTTACTTAGTTCTGTTTTACGCACAAACACATAACGTATGGTTATAGGAATGCCCTATATGAATTCATATTATTCGTATGATGTGGATATTATTCTCTTTTAATTTGTTAGGTAATGGAATAACATAAAGACCATGGGTTTAAGTTGTGGTTTCTTCATGTTCGGATGTTACAGATGCAGCTATTGCAATCACGATTTTTTTTTTTGGAAAGTTTCACAGAATTTCTATAGAAGTCTTGTAGATATTAATTCATCTTAATTTATATCTTTATACATTTCCTTTTGTCATTAAATTATAGTTAAATTGAGAAACGGGCTTTTGACATGCTAAAAACGAAACACTCACTAAATTCATATTTGTACATATGAGAGATGTCTGTTTGTATATCATTGCTTCACTTTGATAGCCATAATGGTATTTGGATCTGATGGCCTTTTTTTTTTTTTTTTTTTGGCATTTAACGTGGCTAACTTAATTCATTTTGGGTACTCCTAGTGTTGGTTTGGATTTTCAGCCAGCAGACCTACTCATCTAAATGGTGTGATTAACTTTTTTGATCTTTACCCATGGCAACTTGTCTGTTATGCATCATAACCTTGAATGCGTATGAGTGACTGTTAGTCTGGTTGCGTATGATGAAATTATTTACTGAAGGGTGAAACCTACTTATGACAACTTGTCTGGTGCATTTCAGAACAATTTGGATGAACTTTTTATGCTAATGCACTTCCTTGATGCTGGGAAGGTTAGTATGATGTTAATACTATGAGGAAAAGAGTTTCTGATCTTGCTAATGAATGTCGATTATCTTATGGAATGCTTACTTCTGGTAGTTTGGAAGCTTAGAGGAGTTCCAGGAAGAGTTCAAAGATATTAATCAGGAGGAGCAGATATCAAGGCTTCACAGAATGTTGGCTCCACATCTCCTCCGAAGTATACATCTCAAACTTGAATATGATCTTATTGCACCTCATTTGCTTGTCCGGTTTTTGTCACAGTCCAGGCTGTGTTGGTTTATGTTGTTAGTCTTGCTCGTTTCGTGATTGGATTTTATGTTGCCTTCTTCTAAGTTCTTTGATAGAATGATGGTGAACCTTGCATCGTGCTAGCGGTAACAATCAACTTTGGTGATAGTTCTTGCAGTGTCTTATAGAATGATGGTTGACTTGATTTGTTTCTCTAACTTGCACCCTCACTTAAATGTCCTTTGGACTTAATGTGTGAACGAAGCATAGGCCTGAAAAACATTCTGGTAAGACATAATTTGGTTAGGAGGGTTGCTTGGATCAGTTTCTGGCCATTTTGGTCATGAAGCTTTATTATGTCAGGATTTCATCCCAAAAGCTTAAGCTATTAGGTTAAGGCCCATGACTTTTTTTTTTAATAATATAAACCCTCCTTTCTCATTTTATATCCTCTATAGTAACCTTGTACCCGTAGTTGTTGCTTTGTCTGCAATTTGTTGGAGAAACAAGGCACACTTTTGCTCATAGTGTTGGTCCTATTATGCATATAGGCTTATATTTATACCCGAAAAAGAATGCTGGCAGTTTTTGTTAGAACGAGCCATATCAGACTTATCCTAGAAGATTTACACCCTCCTGACTTTTCTTGCTGCAAGAGAATGTAACACTCATCTTCAGTCTCTCATTCTTGGTTATTAGTTTTGTTTGGCTTGATCTAGTTGTTTTATTTACTTGTGGATGAGGCTGCCTGGGATTCCAACCATTCAGTCCTTTTGGTGATTTGGTATTAAGGGGAAATTACTAGAGGACTCGTAGGGTCTCTGTTGGTTAAAACTTCATAATTCTTGTAACAAACTAACGTGATGATTTGTTTTTGAATAACTGCTGTATTCCAAATGTGGATTTAAAATTTTGGTGCCCCTGTAGGAGTGAAGAAAGATGTCATGAAGGAGCTACCTCCTAAAAAGGAACTTATTTTAAGAGTTGAGCTAAGCAGCAAACAGAAAGAGTATTACAAGGCAATTTTGACGCGTAATTATCAAATATTAACTCGTCGTGGTGGTGCACAGGTAAGATCGATACTTCATTGAACCTGATCCTTTTGATATTCTGGTCTTATTCTTAGCTTTATAACATTTGATGGAAAACTTCTTGGTTGTAATTTATAGTGATGTTATTATTGTTGCTGGATGCTTTTTAATCAGATTTCTCTTATCAATGTTGTTATGGAATTGCGCAAACTATGTTGTCATCCTTACATGTTGGAAGGAGTTGAGCCAGATATTGAAGATCCAAAAGAATCATACAAGTAGGCCCTCTGTTCTTATGTCATTTCTCCGAGTTCTTTTGTGGCAGTACATGTTCTTTTACATGGGCTTGTTTAGCCGAGCTGAAACACATGGCACTCTTAGTCTCTAGCAGTAACTAGATCTTGGTCCCGAAGGCTGAAAGCTGCTTTGTTTAGGGCTTTGTGAAATTGTGACTTCTAGTAGCTTATATATATTGATTTCCTTTTCTCCTCTATTTTGTTTTCACTCTGGCAGACAGCTGCTAGAGTCATCAGGGAAGTTGCAATTGTTGGACAAGATGATGGTGAAGCTTAAGGAGCAAGGACATAGGGTCCTCATATACTCACAATTTCAGCACATGCTTGACCTGTTAGAAGATTACTGTTCTTACAAGGTATTTGGATGAGGTTATTTGCGCTATTGTGAACTTTCGTATTTCTGTATGATGCTCCATTTGTTTTTCATTTTAAAAACAGAATTGGCACTATGAAAGGATAGATGGCAAGGTTGCTGGAGCTGAAAGACAGATCAGGATAGATCGGTTTAATGCCAAAAATTCCTCAAGATTTTGCTTTCTTCTTTCTACCAGAGCTGGAGGATTGGGAATAAACCTAGCAACTGCTGACACAGTTATTATTTATGACAGGTGAACCTACATTTTATTTTTGCTTTTTTCCCCTTTTTTTTAATTCTGAAAAGATATTTTTAATGAAAAATATCGCGCTTATGTCATGAAATGAGCATTACTGTTTCAATAGCTGTTGTCCACTTGGATTAAGCAAGAACTTCACTAGTATGTTTGAATAGCATTACTGTTTGATATCTTCTCTTTCTTGATACTAGTAACAAAACTCCTGTGAAGAGGTGATAATTTATCGCAAGGTACAAAAACCCCAGTAGGTGTTGAGTACATGACTTACCCCGTCTTGAAGACCAATAGGTACATCTAAATCGTCCCCATTGTGGCTCAATCACTTCTGGACAAGGAGTAGGTCTTGATGCATTCTTCTTAAGAGCCTTATGTTACCAAGTGATGTCAAATGCAAGGATTGTATGGCATCATTGGGCTCTTTCCTTAACTAACTCTTCATGGGATAACAATTTTATTTCTGTTTTCCATTCTGCAATCCAGTTCTCCTTTAAAATCATTATTTTACGCCAATGAACTCTCATTTTGTAGTGATTGGAATCCTCATGCTGATCTACAAGCTATGGCTAGAGCTCACCGACTTGGACAAACTAACAAGGTTAGAATTCATTTTAATCGATGTATAATTGATTATCACTGTTTCCTTACATGGAGTTATCTGGTGTTTCAGGTGTTGATTTATAGGCTTATAACACGAGGAACCATTGAAGAAAGGATGATGCAAATGACTAAGAAGAAAATGGTGTTAGAACATTTGGTTGTTGGAAGGCTAAAGGCTCAAAACATTAATCAGGTAAATAATTCTCTTTTAGCAGAGCCTTGCGTGTGTAATTTACCAGTAATGTGGTATTTTCTTCTCTTGTGCTTTTTTTTTATCTCAATAAACAAAACTTTTTCTTGACTAGGGAGCGTAAATACTACTATATATATGCCGTTTGGTTGAGATAGCTTTCTTTCTTTCTTTTTCTATTTTTAAATGTTAAAGTCAAATGTTGGTTTAGTGGTTTCATTAGTGAATTTATTCGTTTGTGCATTGCCCTTCTCTTCTTTGAATGCCTTTTTTCTTTGTGTGAAATTTGTAGCTTTGAAGATCTGATGTTATCTGATGATTGATTGTTCTTTAGGAAGAGTTGGATGATATCATTAGGTATGGCTCAAAGGAGTTATTTGCTGATGAGAATGATGAAGCTGGCAAATCCCGCCAAATTCATTATGATGATGCTTCAATAGATAGGTAGTCCCGCAGTAATCTTGAATCATCGTGTGTGTCTGTGATAGAAAATTTCATTTGATGTATTCTCCTCATTCATAGATTGTTGGATCGTGAGCAAGTTGGCGTTGAAGAAGCTGTGTTGGATGATGAAGATGATGATGGATTTCTGAAGGCATTTAAGGTTTGTTTTATCATTTCATCATGCACATCAATTCTTGTGTTTACACTTGGTCTTATCCACTGCGGGTTTGTGGTTTGGCTTGGCGGTGTACTAGGTTTCTTCTCCCTAGTTATTTTTGCATGCGTGTCTGCGTACATAGATAAACATCCACGTGGATTCCCCTGTCTGGATTAAGATTAATTAGCAAGGGCATTAGGAGTGAAGGAACCAAGTAAAAAGCACTAATTAGTACTCGATTCACCCATGCTTCCATTAGAAGTTTAGATACAGCTGTCAGCTGACATATCTTTTGTTCTGCCTCTGTCTGTATGTACATTCTTTATCTCTGTCTCTTGAATTTTTTTTTTTTTTTGGTTGCACTAAGAGCATCCTATCTTTTTTATAATTGCTGGTCACACATTGTTCAGCTGTAAACATCTTTGATTTATTATCGTTTTTCCCACACAGTGGATTTTACTTTTTCAAATTACCATTTGTCATGGTTCTTTTTGGTGGCTATAACGTGCCTTGTAATTTATGGACAAAAACTGTTCATTCTTAAAAATTAAAAAAGAATTGAAATAGAAATTTCTTGGTTCAAAATTGATGACCATTACTTTCCCTATGTATTGCAAATGTTTGCCAAATTGTGCAGGATCTTCTTTTCTATTTTACTTTTTTTTTGGGGGGGGGGGGGGGTTTCTGTTTGGGCTCACTGCCATTTTCTAGGACTAAGCTGAGTATTTTTTTTCAGGTGGCAAATTTTGAATATATTGATGAAGTTGAGGCTGCAGCAGAGGAGGCAAGGAAAAAAGAAATGGAAAAAAAGAAAACCGTTAACAACTCAGATAGGGCAAATTACTGGGAGGATTTGTTGAGAGACAGATATAAAGAGCATAAAACTGAAGAGTTTAGTTCGTTGGGCAAGGGCAAGCGAAATCGCAAGCTGGTATGTCTGTTTGGAGTCCGTGGCATATGCTTTGTACGAATTTTAAGATTGGTTTTTGTTTTCAATGATAAATGTGTAAGTAATCCAATTGTGCTATATATTCTGTTTGATCTTTGTTGTTGGCATGTATGTATGCATACATGAGATGTTTACGTACACATATCCAGAATTCCAGATTTTCTGTTGCACAAAAGAGGGTTCCTATTTTCTCTCTTAAATCAGTTTCCTCTTTTTCTGTTTGGGTTTAAAATTTTTCCTTTCTCATCATTTCTGTAAGCGTAAGAATTTCATGTGGAATGAGGACGTTACTTGCTGTAATTATTTTTATTATCTCTCTTGTTCTGTGCTTATATCTTGTTGAGGAGTTTGTTGTGGTCCTAAATGTAAAACCTTAATCTCCTTTGCCTCCCATATTGGTTGCACACACTAATATGTGTAATCAATAGAGGTAGTTTCCAATATAAATGATTAAAGTGAGGTGCATTCTAGGAAAACGAATGCACATTTCTTATGAATAACTTAACTTTTTTTTTTTAATATATGTTAATTACTTATCTAGCTTCTATATTTAGGACAACAGGAAGTATTAGTTATGAACCATGGTGCAATATCCCTGTCCTCAAAAGAAAAATGAACAGTACAATGATAAAAGAAGGCAATGTTTTCAGTAAGCAAGGATGCAAAAGATACAAAAGTAAAAAAATAATTGTTCTCCCAGTACTTCAGAGACCAGAGATTCTCTACTAAGCCCAAAGTGAGGATCCCCCTACCCACAATGACCCTGCCTCCCTAAACTAATCTCACTCCCCCTATAATACCCCTGGCAGCCCTCCTCCCACATCGCACATGTGATAATGTACTAGGCCGTATTCTCCTTTCACCCCTATCACCAACTCAGTACCGTCTTTATCTATTTCAGGCTCCACATTATTCTTTTCCATCTCTCTGCTCTGTGAGAGAGAGAGAATTGGTTTATGACGAGGAAAACATGGAAGAAGAGAGTTAGAATGTAACAAAATTACTTGAATACCTGCAGCTCTTTTATATAGGGTATGCTGATAATTCGTACTTAATCAAGGGGAGCTTCACATTCACTATTTGTACTTTGTAATCGCCATCATATTTATCATCATCATTAAAGCCAATGTCTGTATTTGCCAAGTTTCAGATGGCTTCTGTTGAGGAGGATGATCTTGCTGGCCTAGAAGATGTAAGTTCTGATGGTGAAGATGACAACTATGAGGCAGACCTTACTGATGGTGATTCAAATTCAACTGGAACTACTTCTGGGAGAAGGCCTTACAGAAAGAAAGCCCGTGGTATTTTTTTTCCCCTTTCTCTTCAGTGAACTTTTATAATTATTTTAATGTGGATGCATTTTGATTATCTTATATGATTCTGACGTTTGTTTCTCTGAAACCTCTTGCAGCAGATAGTACAGAGCCACTTCCTTTGATGGAAGGTGAAGGAAAATCATTCAGAGTACTTGGTTTCAATCAAAGCCAGAGGGCTCAATTTGTGCAAATTTTGATGAGGTTATCGTTAATGATTGTATCTGAACTTTGTTTTTGGGTTTTATGTATTGAAGAAAGGGTTCTGCCTGTCAATATCTCCAGTTCATCTCACTTCAAGAGTCAATTACAGGTTTGGAGTTGGTGATTATGATTGGAAGGAGTTTACTCCCCGCTTGAAACAGAAGACATATGAAGAAATCAAAGAGTATCTATATAGATTTTTTTTTTTTCCCTTGAGTTTGTTATCATTAGTTGAATTTCATTATTCGAGTTTGTGCTAATTCTTTTGCCTGATTGCAGACTTTTTTTATTTTCTTTAGAGAGTTTATTTTTGGTAGGTAATGTAGAGTGGCAATTGACATCTGCGCCCATGTATGTTATATTCACATAGATAATAGTCGTAATATGAATATAATTTTGGATTTGCGATGAGTTAGATGTTGTGTATATGCTCTCCAGGTAAGGTCGGTTAAGTTTACTGATTCACACACACACACACACACAGGTGAACTGCGTATAAGAATTTTGTATTGTTTTTCTGCAAAATCATTGCTTATGAATGTTTTGGTTGTGTGAAAAACATAAATTGTTGAAAGCTGCAGGGGTGGTCGAGCAAATATTTAGGGTGTTCTTGATCATCCAGCTCTTTTAATATATTGTTTGGCAAATAAATATTTATTTTTACTGCATTTTCTGTCGGACTTGCATTTTTCCTATGTTTGTGTGTATGAGTCTTGACCCATGAATACATATTTGTTCCTGGATGTGTACGCAAAAGAAGAGACCATGCCTGTGCATGTGAACCTGTCCGTTTTTCCTAAAAAACTACTACATCCAGTCCTGAAAGTAAGAGTTAGATAACTAATTGAACATATTAAGTATATTAATTTAGTTATTTACCCAAAAACAAAAAAAAGTGTATTGGCTCCTCTAAAATATTCCTCAGTTTATTCATTTCTATTGGAACTACTTCTATTGATGTGTGCAACAATAAAGATAATATATATATATATATATATATATATATATATATATAGCAAGGCAAAGGAGATCAAAGTTTTACATTTAAGATCGAAACAAACTCTTCATCTAGCTCCTACTTTGAGGACCGGAGGGAGTATTATTTACCATAGGGTTAAATAGACCTACATTAATTTGATAAACGTTTTAACCACCTTAGTTTTGTTGCCTATCAATGGTTTGTATCATACCTTGATAATACAGTTTTTTTCCTTTCTTTTTTTTTCAGTTATGGATTCCTTTTCTTGTCTCATATCGCTGAAGATATAACTGATTCTCCTACATTCTCAGGTGATGGATTCTTCCGCTACCTTTTCTATTCTCAGTAGACATTAACCCTTGTTTTATATTTTCATTTATCTAAGGCTTTTGTCCATGATTTGGTTCTAGACGGTGTTCCAAAGGAAGGACTTAGAATACATGATGTATTAGTGAGGATTGCAGTTCTTCTCTTGATAAGGGACAAGGTAAGTTCTTCAAAGCAACTTTCTTTATGCTCATCTGCTTGTTATAGTCTTATTATGCTCAAGCTCAACCACGCTTGTGATTTCATTTCTATGAGAGAGTCGTTCCTTCTATTAGAGTTTTTTCCTTTCTTTATTGGGGGAAACAGTTTCTTTGGTGTTAATTTTCTTGAAGATGATGCTGGTTTTCCCCCTGGGGATGTGGAATGACAGGTGAAGTTTGCATCAGAGAAGGATCCTGGAACTTTGCTTTACACAGATGACATCTTGTTGCGGTATCCTGGTTTAAAGGGTGGAAAGATATGGAAGGAGGAGCATGATATAGTGTTACTGCGTGCTGTGTTGAAGTAAGTTACTTCATTTTTATATTCAACGGAAGTTGCATTACTTAGGTAGCAAAATAAGTGTTCTGTTTATTGTCTGGTTTCTTGAACAGTGTTCATGATCTCCTGATGGCAAGGTGGGAAAGATATGTAGCCATGAAATAGGGACTAAGTGAAACAAAATTGACTGTGTGGTAGAGTTGTGGAAACACCTGTTTCTTCCATATTTTGGACCTTAGCTCCATGGAGCAATATGCTATTGCAGAAACATGGAAGAATTGAAATCTTAGATCAAAACATTATGTATGAGTGTTATGAATTGCCTAAACAAGAATTCTTGAAGAGCAAATAACCAGAGCTATTACTCACTACATCAAAAAATTTCCACTAATGACATGTAAATCATTGGAAAATCAATCGGTTTGCGTACATATTAATTCTTTGGTATGTTCATTAAAGAAAACTCTTTCTTTCTTTCTTCTTCTTCTTCTTCTCTTTTGAAGGCATGGATATGGAAGGTGGCAAGCAATTGTGGATGATAAGGATCTAAAGATTCAGGAGGTCATCTGTCAGGAGTTGAATCTTCCCATGGTAAATCTACCATTACCAGGACAAGTTAGTACCCAGACACAAAATGGTGCAAATTCAACAAACGTAGAAGCACTGGCCAACCAATCTGGGGAAAATGGTGGGAATGGTATGGTAGCTGATGGTGCACCTGGTTCTGGTGATGCTAGGAACCAAACACAGCTATATCAAGAGTCTTCAATATTATATCATTTTAGAGACATGCAGAGAAGACAGGTTGAGTTTGTAAAAAAGAGGGTTCTTCTGTTGGAAAAGGGCTCTATGCTGAGTACCAGAAAGAATACTTCGTAAGTTTTTTATGTTTCAGAGTGTATAAATTATTTTATTATTTGATATTTGATATTTTACTTTTAGAATGTATAGGTGAAAGTGTAGAGCAAAGCTAATTATGTTGCCTCTTTAGGTGCTACAAAATTTGTCACTTCAAAAGCTAATAGTTTAATATTTCTTGGGTCTTACTTTTCATTGTGGTTGAGAGATGGTTTTTCCTTCTTGTGTTTTTCCCTCTTTGGATGGTGGGGCCAGGAGTGTTGTGGTTTGAAAAATAAATCAATTGAGAGGTCATGGATGGAGAATAAAAGTGCCAGCTCCGCCGAGCATTCTAATGGCCAATGCCCCTGCAATCAGAACGGAAACAGTCGCCTACATCTCCTTTCTAACTATTACACTTCTGGCATGAACTATATACTTAAACTTTCATGCAATCATTCGTATTTTAGGTTCTATTTGGAATTAATTATGTGTAGGTCTTTATCTAAAAATGAAGATATAGTTGATGCTGTATGTTATACAATCTATGATTTGTTTCTAACGAACTCTGGTTATGTATTGCCATAACGAACTCTGTTTGCAGGGTGACCAAATGAAGCCATGAATGTAGAATTTAAAAATGAAACAAAGGATTCAAATGTTTCAAGTTATAAATCAGGGGAGATTGACAGGAAAATGATTGATCAACTGCCTCAATTAGAAGAAATAGGTATGATTGTATTGTTGTCCATTAATAGCTGTCTCATGGTGACTGCAATTGCCGAATTTGTGTTCAGTTATGAATCTGAAGTTGTGTCTTTTTTGTCATTCTTTATTTATCTAATCATTTTCTTGTAATCGTTCTCTTATTTTCCCCACAACTTTATTCACTTGAAAACCATTTTTCATTTCCTTTTGCTACTCACGCATGAAAAAATATGAGATGCATAAATTAATTTTGGGGCTGATATTTTGTGCAGCTCCTGAAGAATTTTCGGCTGCTGCTTGTGATACTGATCCAAATCGATCGGAATTGGTTCGACTTTACAATGAGGTATAGATACTGCATTGCAAACTCTTTACAAGCTGCTAAATAATGCAATGGAGGAGACAGAATGGTAGGGAAAAGATTCTATGCTGACTATCTGCATCAATTATCTCTCTTTATTGGCAGATGTGCAGGGTTGCGGAGGAAGACACCATTGAATTGGCTGGAGGACCAGTTGATGTCAGTATGAAGAACTTGCCTACCCTGGAAACTGTTTGTGAAGACATCAATAAAATTCTGTCACCCACTAAGCAAGATGATGGTCCTGCGGAAATGCCAATACCCAGTCCAGGTGTCAAATCAGAGGCTTATCGGAGAGGAGAGTGAAGTTGCTAGCGCCAATTGCCCTCAACTCCTCAAGATGACTGTAACCTGACAATGTAGTAGTGAACAATGAGAGAAAAGATGTGGTGATAGGGTCCGATGGAAAAGAGAGCGAATCAGAGACGAGGGGAGGTGATGTTGAAATGAGCGAAGCCGGCAATGATGCTGCGTTGGATGAAAAGATGGATGAATAGACCATAGTCTGTTGTACGTTGTCAGGTAGCATTCTTGTTAGTTTATAAAATATAGGCAAATTATGATGGTGTTTTCGAAGTTTATCTTCAAGTGTAAGAGCCCACAGGGATGGAGGCAATGCTCGTGGATCTTTTTATGTTGTACTTACTAGAATTAATTGTACTGAGGGGGAAAAAAGCTCGATATGTTTGGCGCTGGTGCCATATAAATGTGCCTTGCCTTTTTTTTTTGGATGAAAATGTGCTTGTTTTTAATCAAATCTAATCATGTGAATTTTTTATATATATGTGTATTTTATAAAAACTCATAATATTAATATTAATGTTTTAAAATTCACTTGTTAAGATTTGATTTTAAAAAAAGTACACTGAGCACCAAAGTTCGGGCATTTAAGTTCTGTCCTTAAGCACTGCATGTCATGATCTTCGTGGCAGTTTCGGTACTTTAATCTTTCGGTTATAACGATGGG